GGTACACAGCTGTTGACCAACAAGTGAGCTACACAAAAGTAGCAGAAAATGCAAAGTTGTTGACATTGCTCCCTGATGTTTGGGTTATCCTTGCCATCCCTTGAGGCACTGTGCTTCTGCTGGGATGTACAATGGGTTTGGGGTACTGGATCCTCTTTGCTCACATGGCTGGTGAGATGGTTGTCCAAGCCAGCTGGTGTCCACCCAAGAAGTCCAGTGGTATGAGGCTGCTGTGCCCAGCTCATGCCGAGGCCTCGCAACTGCATGAGAAGGGTTAGAGTGTCCTCAGGCTCCCAACCTTCAGCCTTCATCCGCTTTGGCTTGTGCTCCTGGGTGGTGATAGTGTTGGATGGCAAAGAGCGGACGATTGCCTTTCCCCAACCTAAGCAAACCCTCATTGAAGCTGGGTCTTCCCACACCACTTAGCTGGACCTTGAAGTTGTAGGGTGCTACTGCTCCTGGGCAGCTTCACAAGCTTTTTGGAGGGTGGGGTTTCTGGGAAAGCCTCTGCTCATCCCTGGGTGGCTGAGTTCCTGTTTCACATCTTCTGGAGGATGAAACGAGTAACTGCCAAGCTTGACATATGGTGATTTTCGGGGTGGTGTTCAGTGATGTTTGCTGGCAACCCAGCCTTGAGAAAGCAAAGATGAGGATTTAAATGCGTAGTGACATTGGTCTGGAAAATGTTCTCCTGGAATAGATAGCCTTGTCATCTTGCAGCCCCGGATTGCTCCTCTGGTGGTGGCGTGGTGGAAGAGCTGGGCTCTCGGGGTGGTTGCGTCTGTCTTGGTGGACCAGAGCGTTCATTAACGCGCACTCTTTGCCCTTGTTGCTGCTTGACTCTGGGTTGTAAACCCACCTGCGCCCATCTGTAAATACTTAACGTATGGACTATGATCTACGCCTAGAGTAGGTGTGGATTTTGTATGTCTGTGGCCTGCGTGCAGTTATAAAAAGTATGATATCGGCAACTGGCTTTGTCACTATAGGAGCAAACGAGCGCCTTATATTTGGAAAATGTTGGGTTACCTGTAACGTGCCATCCTGAGATTTCCCCATTGCTTCCTGTGTCTGGTTTGAGCTCGGTGGGTTAAAACTCATTCCCAAATTTTCTAAAATAGGTTTACAGTTTGGAAAACAAAAGGTATTGAAGGCCTTACCTTCTCTCTCCTAAACAAAAGGTATTGAAGGCCCTATCTTCTCTCTCCTATCTTTATATTTGATTTGGTCCCCTTTGTCTTTTTTTTCCCCTGTGATGGGCGCTTTTTTTGGTAATTCTCTGTTGTTTCCTTCCCTCTCACTTATCTCTCCCTCTGCAGTTCGCTTTCCCTCGCTATTCTTCTCCCCCTCTCCCTGCCCCCTGTGATTTATTTGCAGGCAGGTTGTCTCTTTGATTTACTGTATCTCTCCTCCGTAGGATTATGATAAATGGATTGTATGGCTCTGGCTGAGCTCCTCCAACACCACGTACTTGCGCCAGGTCAAGCTTGAAAACCAAGGGGCAATGTTGGCATTGGGTCTCCTCCGCATGGTCTACAGGGACGTGTTGGTAAAGGGGATGTGGTCCTTACGGTCCACGCTTTACGTTGTCTCCCCAGCTTTTTTAGCCTGTGTTAGGCATGGAGCTCAGCAGAGGGGTTGGTTTTTTGTCTGCACTTTTCTCTTGCCTGATATGCTGGGTTGGCTGCGTGTGTGTGCATGCACGCATGCATGCTTGCAAAAATTTAAGCAGGTATTTTATTGGGCGCTTCCAGGCCCATCAACCAGCGTATTTCAATTTACTATATCCTGATATGGATAGTGTTTGCTGCTTGTAATTAGAGCGTTTCATCCCACAGTCACAGCAGGCAGCGGTTTATTGATAAAGTTGTTCTGTAGTTGCTGAGCAAACACCCCCAAATCTGAGCTTCATTAAGTTATCGCCCGCCCTGCTGCGATGCATCTTCATTGCGTGCTGAAATCCATGCCGCTGACGGGAGATCCCGGAGGAGGTCCAGGGCTGCGCTGTGTGGCCGCAGCTTAATGCATCCCGTCACAAATTGACACAGCATGCTTGTTCCTCGCCTGATGTATATAAATTCTTTCCCTTTCCAACCAAAAGCGGGTTTTCTTTGGCCACCGCAGATCTTTTCCCAGTGGCTGTGGATGGTGGTGACACAGCTGAGATGTCTTTGCGGAGCAGGCACGGCTGCTCCTCTCCCCTGAGAGGTTCATACAGACCCCAAAGCATCAACAGTTTCCTTGAAAATGCAAGTGGAAAATGTTTCATGTTGGCTTGTTTTGTTGTTGTTTAGTGCATCCTCTCCCTTCTCGACTGGGTTTGTTATTCGGCGGGTAATCCTTCATAACGAACCCGCGGGAGATTGATGGGGAGAGCTCGTTATGCACTTCCAGAGCAGTTTCACCATCATTCTGTAGCAGCAAAATGCACCCATTAAAGGCAGAGAGCCATGGGAATGATGGGATGTAATTAGTTGTTGCTGTAATATTTTTGATTGAAAGTGTATAGATACTGTAAGCGGCTCTTTCGGAAGCTGATGCTCTCGGGAAACTGTTCAGAGCAGCAGTGCTTATCCAAGGGGAGCGGCCGATCCCGCTCTAACCCTGCCCGCCTCTCCAGTGCCGTAATTAAACCCTCTGGGTGATGTCGTGGCGTTCGCACCACGCAGCTGCTGGCTCCTTCACGGCATGAAGGGCGAGCAGCAGTGCTCTCTCCCAATTAGGAGCAGAAACCAGATGGGGAGTCCTCCCGCAGAAGAGACTTTTTGGGTGGGATGTGCAGCCAGAAGCCCGGTGCCCGAGGCAGAGCCGCGCGGATCTTGTGTTAATGCTTTTTCCCAGCTCAGCCCGAAAGTTCGGGATATATTGAAACCTTGCACAGGCAAACCTGGACTGCGTCCATGGGGTGTTGTGGTTAGAAGCATGGGCACGGAGAGCAACCTGGAATTACTTGGGCAACCTCCTGGTGTGTGCTTGAACTCCCTTAATCTATGGGGGATAGCGAGAATTAAATTCAAATTATTCCACTGGGACTTTCTTTGTGTTGACGTTGAGAGAAGCGATGCAAACCACGAGCGTGTAGGTAGCGGTAACAAAAGCCGTGATGCAATCCGGGCTCGACTTGAGGTCATGATGACCGCGGGAAGGCAGAGCTTGCAGCATCAAAGCAGTTAATGTTATTTAGCGCTTGCCTTTGTAATAAAGCGTCTTGGCTCTGTTTCTCTATTGTTCCCTCTCTCTGGTAATGTCACCAAACTTGGACAGAAGCTTCCCAAGCTGTGCGCTTGCCTTGGGCTGATTTTGCTGAAGCTCTCGGGAGAGAAAGAGGGGGTAGAAAGCAAGCTTGGCATTTAGGAACATGAATTAGAGGGGGGGAAATATGGTGCTTTGCTTATGGAAAAAGAAGTCTCGCTGCTGTTCCCTATCGGAAAGTCATGCCGTGGGGCTGGGACTGCCCAGGGGACGTGCCATGGGGCTGGAGCATGCACCGACCCCATCGGCACTTGCTCAGGCTCGCTTTGTGCCCTGCGAGGGCACATCGGGATGAGTCTCTGAAGATCCCACCTGCAGAGCATCCTCTGCCTCTCCGGACCCAGGACCTGCGCCCCGCATGGCCCCACATGCCCAACCCCATGCTCGATGGCTGCCCTCCCGTCTCCCCTCTCCCTCCAAAAGTTCAGCTCTTTTCTGCTCCCCATGCATCTTGGGGGGGCTTATTTCCAGCAGCTGGCATCCTTTCCAAATCTCCCTCTACCCATCTGTTGTTATCAAGCCTCCTCTCTCCTTATTTTGCTTAATTTCTATCTTTTTCCTCTTGGTCGTCTTAGACATGCCTGCGTCTGTTTGCATATGCCCAAGCATTTGCTTTCGAGTGCCTTAGGCTGGTTCGAGCCGTTATCTTCGTGCAGGAGCGACAGCTGCTGCTTCTTGCCTTGGGAAGTGGGACCGTGTCCCTGAGGCATCTATCGAGGAGTGCAGCACTTGTAGAAGTTTCTTCCTGGCCTCCCTGAGCAGAAAATTTGTCATTGTATCTCCTTCTTTCCAGATGACAACATTGAAACGTGGTCAGGTTGGGTTGGCCTCCTTGTCTCCATCTCTCTCTGCCCACAGCCAGACCCAGCTCCCTGCCAGTTAGAAGTCACGTGTGATTGGCAGGAGTCCTCCACGCTGGGGAGGTCTGAAATACAGGTTTCAGGCTGGGGATTTCAGGAATTAAGTTCCACTTCGTTTTAGGTAGCTCAGAAAGGTTTTTTTTGAAAAGCCTTAAATCCTATCGGGAAGGGTGGTTGGCGAGACGGCATCTGCTGGTGTGAAATGAAGGCTTCCACGGTGGATCCCATGCTGCCCTGCTCCACGCCTGGCTACTCAAATCGCTTATTTTCCCCCTTGAGAATGCCAGCCCACCCTTTGCTCCTCTGAGACACAGCTTATCCCACTGCAAGCATCGGCTCCGGCTGCATCTTGCACCCGTTTGCCTGGGGGGGTGCGGGGAGCCCAGGATGGCAGCGAGTCCTCCCCGCCTGGATTGCGAAGTGCCATCACAGATGGATGTGCTGCTCGGCAGCGAGGATGCTGGTGCATTCTAATTGCTGGCATCTTTACTCGTTACGAGTGTAATTGTGAGTAGACGTTTGTTTTTGTATTGATAATTAGGGACTGGAACAGATGGCGAAGGCTTAGTTTAAAGTAATGTGTCCATTAAAGAAAATCTACTGTATACAGCTGAAGATTCTTCACTCTAAGAGAGCTCGCCTCGCTGTAGCAGAGCTCGTCTTCTCCCTAACGAGGGCTTCAACCTTTACAGCCTGGTCAGCTGCTTTCGATGGAGGTTCAGGTCCTGAAGACTCCTCCAAGCGAGTGTGTCGAGCAGAGCATTGCATCCCCTGTGCCGGCAGTCAGGCATGGAAGGGGTTGCTGGAGGAGCGGTACACTGAGCAGGCAGGGGGAGGGCAGCAGTTTGCCCACGCTTGCCTGCTGGGCCACCTAGCCTGTCCGCTGGCATGGCAGAGGCGCAGGCAGTGGCTGGCGCAGGTGGGCACGCGGCGCGTGGTTCACCCAACGTGGCTAACGATGCTGTGCTAGTCGTCCGAGGCATGGGGAGATGATGTCCCCCTGCGCTGACACCCCCGGGGGGGCTGCCCAGGCTGCGTGGACGAGGGCACCTCTCCCAGCAGGACCTCCTCTCTGCCCCAGGCAGGGCCCTGGTTCATTAATGCCCAGTGCCAAATTACCAAGACTGGTCCTTGCAGCATGACGAGGCAGGCAAGAGGAGCGTGGGAGGAGAGGTGTGAGGTGTCCGTGTGGTTTCTCTGCTGGTTAATGATGCTCCGGTGCTGGTCCACGGTAATCTGCTTGTTAGGAGGCAGAGCAGAGGGATTTTACTTACCGCCTGTCCCTCCTTTGCCCACTCCCACATGGTGGATGGCCAGGGGGTTGATCCCCGTGTCCCCCCACCAGCAGCAGTGTTTTGCAGCCAAGAGATGGAGGTGTGAGCGCTGGGTGTCCTCCCTTTCTCTGCAGGACCTTGGGGCAAGGGGCACCGGTCTCTGCAAACCACTCCCTTGCTGAAGGAGGGTGCTCGGCAGAGCCTTGGCTCCGAGCTGCCTGGCTGTAAATGTCCCTGCGGGGTTTCCCCCAGGGTCACAGCGTCACTCGGACGTCCCAGAAAATGAAGGAAAATCCAAGAGTTCCTGCAAGAGGAAATAGCAGAGGTCAATGGGAAGTTGCTCAGCCAAGTCCTTCTGGTGCCAGTACCTCTGCAGTATGGAGTTTGGGTGAGCTCAGGAGGAATTTGGGCTGAAAGGAGGGATTTAATCATTTTATTTCATCTAAAAAAACCAAACCCACCCGGATCTGAGTAGGAGATCTGGTCCGTAGGGGCTCAGGCTTTTAGCAGTGGCTCCCAGCCCACTTTTTTCTTTGGTCTGCAAATTGTTTTAGAAACACGGAGCTGTTGAAGTCCAAGTTACGCATCTGTGTTGGAAACTTTGCGGGTGCGACCTCCCTGGCAACAGGACACCCTTAGGACTCTGGAAACCTCCAAAATGAAAGCTGCTCTGTGGTTCTTTTCAATTTATTTCTCTATTTATTTAGTTATTTAGAAGTCTCCTGCTTTGGGAGCTGCTGTGTGCCGCACCAGCATTGCTGCTCTGCCTTCCCGCTTTCTTTCCAAATTGTGGAGCCTTTGGGGAGGAACAGAGCAGGAGGGAAGGGCTGAGATTTTGGGGAGGGAGCCACCGGGAGGGATCCTGGTGGATGCCACCTCGGAGCAAAGCTGATCCTTGCGTGCTACCGTCCCGTGCTGCGGCTGTACTTTATCAAAAGTACATTCCTCTGTCACCTCCCCACTGGAAAAAAAAAAAAAAAAAAATGCCCGGGGAAGGAAGCTGTGAGTGCGTGGAACAGGAAGGGAGATGATGGAATGAAAATCCTTTCTGAATAAACCCTTGCAAGAAGTGCCTTTCCTTTAGCTGAGCGTGTCCCTATGTACCGCAGGGTTTGGGTGAGCTGGGTCCCAGCCTGGCTGCACTCCCTGCGTCACCCTGAGCTCTGCTGTCTCAGTTTCCCCTTCTTGGCACAAGGATGCCCTGTTCGCTGCGGGGGAGAACACTGAGCATTTTAGAGGCTCTTGGAGCACCCCTCCCCGCAAAGCCCTGCTGGAAGGAGGGACTGGGAGATGTTTGCACGGCCCTTTGCTTCCACCTTCACATCGATTTATGCATGGGCACATCTGCCTGCTTATCTGAAGGGCCATAGGGATGATTAATGACTGCTTAACGAGGCATGGGGCTGTTTGCAAGGGAAGGGAAGCTCTGTGGCAGGGGGAAGGTGGAGGGTGGTGGGAACAGAAACTCCCTGGAGGTCTGGAGCACAAGCCCCCAGCCCCATACGGGGTCAGGGAGGAGTTGCAGGTAGGATGTGTAGTTTTTGGCTGACTTCTGCCAAGAAGAAAGGGGCTGAAGTTGCAGATGGAGATGTGCTGCGGTGTTCTGTTCTCTGCACGGACCAGGGCTGAAAGTCGTCTCTCTGAGGGCATGGTGAGCAGGAACGGGCTGGCACTGTGCAAAGCACCATGCAAAGCACGGCTGCAATGGGCTGTGGGCTTTCCAGCCCCCCCCCAGCAGTGCCACAGCAGCATCCTGGGACCTGTTAGGGGTGCAGAAGCTTTGAAAGCTCCCCAAGTGCCTTTTCACTCCATCTCTTGGGCAGGGGGGTTGCCTCTGTGGACCCTCTCACCTCTCTGGGAGCCAGGCTGGGTCAGCAGCTCCGACCGGGATTTTGGAAGAGGGAGCGTTTATCACTTGTGGCAGGGTGGGGAGTTCCCGGTCACGCTTCTCCAGCCTCCCATCCCGACACAGCCGGCAAAGGGAGGGTTGGGAAGATTAATAGGAGTCTTGTTTCCCGCTTGCGATTGCTGGAGCAGGCGCAGAGAGATTAAAAGCAGCAGTCCGGCAGCAGTTCGTATTCCTGGGCTGGTTTTGATTTCCTGACCTTTATTTCTCTGGTTGCACCCGTTTTCCTGGCACTGCAAAGCTGCTGTGAGTACCTGGGGCCACGGAGGAAAGGGGAGGGACGGGGGATGCTCAGCTATGCCAGCCGCCGGCAGCACATCTCCTCCTCCCATTTGGTTGAGACGCAGGAATCGAGGAAATTAATCTGCATGTCTGCTTGCTGCAAACAAATAAATAAAACCTTGAGGATTTTTCCCATCTGTTTCTATATGTTGTTGCTCTCACTATTATTCTTGTTGTGTTTTGTTGGTTGGTGGTTTTTTTTTTTTTTTTAAAGGATAAAAGTAGAGAAATGTCAGCTGTCTTACAGCTTTTAAACATTTCCCACCAAATCCTCCACCAAAAGGCCCCCAGCAGAGGAACGCCGCTCCAGCGATGTGATTTGTATTCACCTATTTGCATTCACTCTGACAAACAATAACTGTCCGCAAGGACGAGTCAGGGCACCGGCCAGACTTAGTGCGTGGAAGGGGATGCCTGGCGTTGCGGAGCGAAGTGGTAGCTGCCAGCGAGTCGGGCGGGACCTGCCGAAAAGCCCGTGCGCAGGCGCTGGGGGAGGCTTTCCCCCAGCCGCTTGCCGCTTCCCAGGCGGTTAATGCAAACTCGCCGCTTGGATTTAGGCAGGGTTTTGCTCGTGAGTGTAAAGATGCCACAAAATGTGGTGTCCTTCTTGATTTTTTTTTTGTTCTTTTTTTTTTTTCTAGTCGGTAAGGCTCTTTTCCTTTTCTAGGCTTGGGAGGGTCAGAGATGGAAGCGCGGGCTGTGACTTTTTGCAGAGAGTCTTGTCCTGCACCATTTGCTCCGTGTGCTGATATATTAAGGCACCTGCTGCTTTATTTCTGAGCGGCTCCAAGAGTTGGCTGCGCGCTCTGTAAAAGCAACTGAACGTTTTTCTGTGGCTCTGTGCTCGTAACTTTGGGAGTAACTGGTTTGCTTTTCTTCTGTTTCCTCAGAAACTTTGATGGATACGCGGACGGCGACGGCCGAGCTGGGCTGGACTGCCAACCCTCCTTCAGGGGTAAGTGCCGCTCCTCCGGCTCATCATGTGATCTCGCGGGGTTCCACGCTATTTATACAAAAAGGCTAGTGGGGAGCCGGGGAGGTAGCAGTGGGAGCAGCGGAGCCCCATTGGGCTGATGTGGGGCGGCCAGGGCGGCACGGTGCCGTGCTGCGTTGCTGGTCCAGGGCTGAGTGTCCCTTCCTTGAACCGGTCCCAGGGTCTTGGTGAAGATGGAGCTTTTCTCCATCCCCGCACTCTGTCCTCCTTCCAGGTGAAGGGTCCAGCCCCATCACCGCTCTCTATCCCCCTGCTCGCGCCTTCCCTCTCCCCGTGCCAAAAGGCTTGTAATTAGGAAACATTAGCAGGCTCAAAACAGCTTTCATACCTGGGAACATCATCCGTAATTGCACTCGGCAGTGCTCTTCCCTGGCTATTAATGTCACTTTTATGAAGTAATGAGGAACAAAACACCCTGAGGCACTTAAAACATCTTTTTTATATAATACGAGCCTTTGAGGAATGGAAGCATAAAATAACCTGACTCACATTCCCCTGGCAGAGAAAGTGAGAGATGGAGCTGGTCGTGGGGGGAAGAGGAGCGGCGGTGGGAGGGGATGCGAGCTGATGGATGGGCATGGCAGTGGGACAGGCAGGGGTGGGTACAGCAGCGGGGTCCGTCCCTGAGGACTGCAGGATGTGGCACCAAAGAGGAAAGGATGCCAGCCTGCATCTCTGTTAGGGTGAGACTGGCTTCGCCAGGTCTTCAAAAGAAATGAGATTGCACACCGTCACCAAAGCTGAACTGCACGTGCAGCAGGCACGAAATGCTCTGCAGGCACGTCAGAGGCCCTTGCAATGTGCGGCTTTGCTGCTGAATTGCTTTGGGAGAAAATCCGCTTCCAGATAAATTGCTGGCAAAATGCAGGGGGGCCGCACATGCAGGTGATGGAGATGAGGATATAAATAGCTGCCTGCAGCTGCCATCACTGAAAGCCCGTACGGCTTGCGTCGTAAGGCACAGCGGTCTTGCCCTCTGCGGAGCAGCAGAGCAAAGCCTCTCCCCAGCCCGTGCCCCCCGGCATCTTTAGCCTGGAGAAGAGAAAACTGAGAGGGGATCTCATCAACACGTACAAATATCTTAAGGGTGGGTGTCACAAGGACGGAGCCAGACTCTTCTCAGTGGTGCCCAGCGCCAGGACAAGGGGCAATGGGCACAAACTGAAGCATGAGAGGTTCCAGTTGAACATGAGGAAGAACTTCTTGACTTGGAGGGTGACCAAGCCCTGGCACAGGCTGCCCAGGGGGGCTGTGGAGTCTCCTTCTCTGGAGATCTTCAACCCCCACCTGGACGATGTCCTGTGCACCCTGCTCTGGGTGAGGCTGCTTGAGCAGGGGGGTTGGGCTGGGTGATCCCTGGAGGGCCCTTCCAACCCCTGCCCTTCTGGGATTCTAGGATCTCTCTGTGTACCCCGCTGCATCCATCCAACTCTTGTTCCTCTGAGACTTACTGGTGAGTCTTTGCAGGACCATATATTAGATCTTCCACGAAGTATTTTAAAATGCCAAGTCCTTTATTTAAAAGGCCACAGGGTCAGTCTGTAGCATCTGTTGGAGAGTGTGATGTCCCCTGTGGAGTCCCTTTCCTTGTGAACTGGGCTTTTCTTTGTAGCATCAGGTGCTTTGCTGGGTGGATATGGAGCATCTTAAGGTGTATTTTGGACTCCTGGAGTGAACCCCCCGTAGGTATCACGTCCCAGCGGAGGCAGGTTTTGGAGTAGGTTGGCCGCCAGTGGAAAATAAGCAATGTCTTCCTCTTGCTCCAGGTGAGCTGTAGTCTTCATGAGCTGCCCAGTTACAGCACTGAGTTTTAGGGGTTTTCCTATTTAATAGTTCACAACAAGTATTTGAGGGCAGATTTGTACCACTTCTCAGCTTGTCTGGTGGTAATGGCCAGTATTTGGGTGAGGCTTGACCAGGGCACGGCTGCCAGGGAGGGTTTGCAGACCGTGACCCATCCAAGCAGCTTGGTGCAGAGATGCTAAGATACATATGGGGATTTCTGCTTGTGTTGGAGTCAACAAAGACCCCAATTTAGTTGGTCTTTTCTTTAGTCTTCAATTTCCAAAAGCAGCCACCCTAGGACTGTGCTGTTTCTTTTTCAGCCCAGACTGCTGAAAGCTGGGGTAAGAAATGAAAAGCTTCCCCTCTGCCCTGCCTTCCTCCGTCCAAAAATTGAGAGCGCGCTGGCAGCCTTGTGTTGGGGCTTAGTGACAAGCCATAGCATCACAGGAACAAGCAGACAAGAGGGGAACCAGAGAGGGAAGCAAAGAAATAAGAGAGAGAAGAGCAGCAGCCATCTATAAATGGGACCTTCTTGCTCCTTGGGGCAGGAGGGAGGAGATGGGAGGATGAGAGAGGGGCTCCTGGCTGCTGCTGGGGCATCAGCCCGTTCCCCCAGGCTCTTGCCGTGGCGGGACATGGGTTCTCCTCCTGCTCTTCCCGATGGGCATGCTTTAAATCTCAGTGGAGACAGAGAATAACGTTGTCTTAATCCCCAGATGTGTGTGAATTATTTAGTGGGATCTCCTCAGAACGATGCATTTGTCTCTGTTAGAGCATCAACAGCAGCAGCCACTGGCACCATGGGTCTTTCCAGCCATGGGGACCTGCTGCTCTTCAGTGCCTGGTTGCTGGAGCGCTCAACCCAAGGGATGCCCAAGGGAGCATCAGGATCCAGCCCCAAACCCTCACCAGGGTTTTCCAAGTGGCATTCCATGTCACTCCCAGCCATGGGCAGCCCAGTGTGCTGGGTCCCTGAATGCGGCAGAGTCCGCTGGCAGGTTTTGGCTCTGAGTTTTGAGGCTCTGTTTGCAACTTCCCCCCTCCAAAAAAAAAAAAAAGCAGCAAAGCATTTGGTGGAAGGAGCCAGCGAGCGGGATGAAGAGGATTTTCCCGCTGCAAAGAGTGGAGCAGTGGGGTCAGTGTTATGCTGGTGGGCGAGTGCTGGAAGAGAGCTCGTTGCCTGGCATTAATTGGATGACAGGGCTGTAATACAAAGCCCAGGTGAGAACAGGAAACAATGCCAACCCCTTCGGTCAGAGAGGACCTGGCAGCTTTCTCATGTGAAAAGGTGTCTGGTAATGAAGGAGTGTTGAATCTACACATCTTGTCTAGGGTGAAGAGGGGTTTTTGCAGTGCTTTTGTGGCGTGGGATGAGAAGTGAGAGCGTTTGGTTGGATGCATGAGGTTTTATTGCTGGTTTGGTAAACATCGCATAACAACAGTGTGCAACCTTGAGCTGTGATCTTTGCTTAAGCTTAGCAGAGCCACGTAGGTGGGCCCAGGAGCAAATGTTCTGCTGCGCTTGTTGGCAGCGTGCAGAGGACTCTGCTTTGAAAACAAAATAAAACCCTGTGTTGTTTTACATCAGGGCTGCAGTTTACAAGGAGGAAGCTTGGGGAGCAGGTGAGGAACATGGCAGTATAATGGAAAATGGAAGAGGGTAGAACCTGTAAGGTTGCAGGGCTGGTTGTGGTGCATCAGCTCTTTAGGAAGACTCAATGCTACGGGGCAGGTCGGTGTCACCCGTCCGCTGTTGTGTCCCCATGTAAGCACAAATGCGCAAGCGCTGGTATAGCTCCTGGAAATTATGCATGATATTCAGAGTGCTGCTTAAAGATTGCCATATGAATAATGCTGTTATGAGGAGACTGTAAACATGGATTAGTTAAAATGAATGGATTATGAGGTTGTAAATCTGTCTGTAGGACTCTAATGCCACTATAGACTATTCACAGTTTGCCGCTGTCCCTTAATTGAAATTGTAGCCTGGATTATATTAATGCCCTTCTATAAATCGAATTGCAAATCTATATTCTCTCTCTCCACGGCGGTAATGTTTTATTTAGTTAGTTTTTCTTTGCTGGGGGAAATGATCCCATCGTGCCGAGAGCCTGGGGTCAGGCTCGCTTTCCAGCCCACGTGCTGGCTCAGGCTTTAATGAAGCTGTAGCCTTGTATGCTGCTTTCCCTCCTGCCTCCGGGTGCCTGGACCATCATTCTACCCATTTTTATGTCCTCTTTGGGGCAGTTAAGGTGGTTGCCCACGTGGGAAAGATGTTTTAGCATCATCTGGGAGCGATGGGGAGAGGGGAGCAGGCATGCGTGGGCAAGAGGGTGAAGGTTTCTTCTGGTGCTGACCCAGGTACGTGCATCGTGTCATGTGTCTACGACCACATTCCTGCCCCACTTTGGGATCCTTCCTCCAGCCCAGCCCTGCCCCATGCAGGGTGAGTGGCACCTCCGAGGCTCATGGGCTGCCGC